GCCCGGCCTGTACCTTCTCGCAATCTGGGACATCCCTCTCGCAATCTGGGACCCCTGGCTCCTAACTGCTGGCCTGCCTGCCTGCCTGATAGCCCCTAACCACTCTGCCTGCCTCATTGCCCCTAACCACTCGCCTGCCTGCCTAATCCCCCCTAACCCCTCTGCCTGGTTGCCCCTAACTACTCTGTCTGCCTGCCCAATGCCCCTAACTGCTCGCCTGCCTGCCCAATGCCCCTAACTGCTCGCCTGCCTGCCTGATTGCCCCTGACCACTCTGCCTGCCTGCCTGATTGCCCCTAACTGCTCGCCTGCCTGCCTGATTGCCCCTAATCGCCTCTGCCTTGGCCCCTGTCGCTGCAGCTTCATCCGGAAGGACGTCCAGAAGGTCATTCGGCTGTTTGGTCTAATTAGCATATTAGCTTTTTATTATATAGGATATTAGTAATGTATGTTGGTTACAATTAATGAACCAGTATTGATACATTATTTTAAACTAAAGTCCATATTTTATTCAGATTTTTTTGGTTTTTGCCTAATGTCCTCTTTCTGTTCCAGGATACCATCTAGGATATATTACATTCAGTTGTCATGTCTCCTTAGACTCCTCTTGGCTGTGACTGTTTTGCAGGCTTTGTTTTTGAGGGCCTTGACAGTTTAGAGGAATAGTGTTCAGGTATATTATAGGATGCCCCTCTGTTGGAATTTGTCTGCTGTTTTTCTCAGAATTACACTGGGGCAATGGGTTTTGGGAAGAAAGACCATAGAGTTAGAATGCCATTTTCATCACATCATATCCACATCATATCATAACTTTTGATTACTTTTTCTTTTTTAATTGAAGTTCATAAATATAGATATCATCTACATCTAATTACTTTTAATATGCTTTTTCAGATGTATTATTTCAGCGCTTTGCAAAGATTTTCATTGGCTGTCTTGCAGCAGTTACTAGCGGTATGATGTATGCTCTCTATTTGTCAGCGTACCATGAGCGGAAATTCTGGTTTTCCAACAGGCAGGTAAGAAGAAAGACTTTCGAGCATATGAGAGTTTTTTTAGTACTTAATATTAATTTAACTAATTTGCTTTTCCAGGGAGCCCAAATAGTGTAATAAGTATGACAAGTGTTTTCTTATTTTTAAAAATATATATATTTTATTGATTTTTTACAGAGAGGAAGGGAGAGGGATAGAGAGTTAGAAACATTGATGAGAGAGAAGCATCGATCAGCTGCCTCCTGCACACCCCCTACTGGAGATGTGCC